TGACAAGATTTCCACATCTAATTCCCCTAAGAGTCAACTGGTAGCAGCAACTTGAATTAAGGATTTTAGGGCTGTTTTCCTAAAACAACATTTCTATTTAAGAAGACACATAAAGAAATTTTATTCTTACTTATTCTCAGTCTTAATGACTATTATAACTTACTTCATCATTCATATTACTGTGTAATCAGTTCCTACCTGTGAATAGCTTGGTTGCAAGAGGGAAAAACTCAGAGCTACTAGGTCCCTGGGTGGTACAAACGATTTGTGCTTGGGTACTAACCTAAAGGTTGGTGGTTCAAACTCACCCACCCACTGGCACCATGGAAGAAAGGCCTAGTGATCTGCTTCCATAAAGATGACAGCCAAGAAAACCCCGTGGAGCAGTTCTACTCTATAACGCATAGGGTCAACATGATTGTAATCAACTCCACAGCAATGGGTTTGGTTTTTTTACTAGAGTCAATGGCCCTTGATGGAGGGGGGCTTACTCCCATGAAAAGTTCAGGCTCAGCATGATCATCATTACACCAGATACTAAAGAAGTGTTATTGGTGGCTATTTATTTGGGCTTCTAAAGCAATAAGGAACCCTGGTGACACAGTGGTTAAAGCGCTCATCTGTCAACCAAAAGGTCAGTGGTTTGAACCTGCTAGCCACTCTGTGAGAGAAAGATATAGCAGTCTACTTCCGGAAATATTACAGCTTGGCAATTCTATAGAACGACTCTACTCTGTTTTATAGGGTTACTATGAGTCCGGATTGACTTGATGGCAACTGGTTTAGTTTTTTTTTGCTTTGATTACTAAAGCAAACCATCTTTTAAGTTCTTCTACTTGTCATTCTCATTTACTATTCTTGACCCTCCATACCCACCTACCAGCCATCCGTTCACCCATTCCCTGACACTGCCTTCCTCCTCTAACCTCTCCAGCAAAAATCACTTCCCTTCAGTCTCTTCTTTGAGGATCTGACTTCACTACCTACTCACCAGAATCCCCTTGTCTTTTACATTTCAGTGACATGAATTGACAAATTTATCTCTTAATCCATTTTTTAAAATGTGAGGTGTAATCATGAAATATTTCTGGTGAATTATATATAATAATCATATAATTCAGTGGAATAGCCTGCAATTTATTTAACATTTCTCAGTGTGTGTGTTTGTCTTTTTAACATACAGGAGGTCCAGCCTGGTCATAACAACCAAACTCTACTGGGGTGGAAAGTAAGTTCATTCCTTTCATTTTCTCCACTTGACAGGAAACAACTAGTAGTTCATGCTTTCATCCTTTTAGGCAACCATTTTACATCTAACTTACTAAACTGATTGCCTTGGAGAAAGGGCTTTGGTGGTGTTTTTCTCATGCTGAAGAAATAGCAATTGGGCTAGGATTCAATTTTAGCAAGTGGTCCCCAGAGAAATTTAGTGCAAAGCATGTGGTCACTGGTTACTAACTGATTCTTGGAGATTTTCTAAAACCAACCTCATATTTAGTCCCATTTCCAAAATAGAGTTCAAATTTTAGGGAAAGATAATAAGCACAAAGCATCACAGAAGAAAAGCTACTCAAATCTCTCAAAACTCAGAGATTTCTGTGGAATGCAAAGATAAAAATATCATGTCTAGCCCTTCATGTAAGTCTCTGATCATTTCTGCAGAGGCCTCTGAAAGTACTGATCAAAAGGACCATCTCATCGGAGAGTAACACGAAGCTGCCTACATGGCTTGCTGTCAGGACAAATAAAAAAGAAGTCCTTTCTCTGTGGTGGGAATGCAGAACAAATTTCACAGGATGAATTGGCTTCTGATGGCTTGCTATTGTTTGAACTGGTAGTTACATTATTCAGCAGGACTTAGAAGTCTGGCCTTTCTAACAAACATGTAGGAAAACAGCAATCTATTTTCCATATACCAGAGTAATTGTTAGCACTGTGCTTTTCATGACAATACCCAAGAAGGTTAGAGTCTTAACAAATCCTTATTTACCTCCCCACAATTGATGGAGGCAGGAGACAAGTCTTCTTAAGGAATCTTCTAATCAAAATGTATGTGTGTATACAGGCACACACACACAAACCCTTTATTGTTGTTTTTGAGCCTGTTTATGGTAAATATGCAGCTAGAAAGATGGAATTAGATTTTTATTCCTAGTGTTTTCTGAGGGAGCACTTGACTGCTAACCAGAAGGCTGGCAGTTCAAACCCACCAGCCACTCCTCAGAAGGAAGATGGGGCAATCTAGTTCCATAGTGATACTGCCTCGGAAACTCAAGGAGGGGTCACGATGAGTCGAGTCCCACTCGATAGCACATAACAACAAGAACAGTGTTTTCTGAAGAAAAACAAAGCCACATAGTTCCTATAAGAGATGTGGATTTGCACTGTGCTTTGATTTTATGGTACTGTTGCTTGTCTTGCAATGGTGCTCAAAACTTTGTTTATAGCTTAAAAGAAATAGGAAATAAAGCATCTGCAAGAACCATTGTAGAGGAGAGTGCTACATGCAATAATTTATAATATATTTATAAAAGATACAAAATCATTAAAGGTGAATGGTAAGCTACCATGTTTTACAAAAGAGGCTGTCAAAGATATTGATGTTGAAGAAACATTTCATCGATACTTAAAATTCATGGGCTATATTTCTTTCTAATTAGACAGAGCCAATTTGAGAATTGAGAATTATCTAGGAGGACAAAGTCCTGGGAAAGGGTTCATCTTCTAGGAAACTAATTTAAAGACTTGGTTCATTTCATTTTGAAGACAAGTAGTTTTTAATTTCTTTTGAAGGTCAAAACACACTTTCAAGTCTGCTTCCTTTTTCAGAAAAACTAATGATATCACCAGCCTGGTAACCCTATAGCAAGCTCAGGAAATTATGTCAAGGTGCTTTTTTTTTTTTTTTTTTTGCTCAGGATTGGTTAAGAACTAGGTAAGAAGATTGAGCCAAGTGTCAAATTACACATGGACAGGATGTGCCTGTGTGGGTAGCTATTAACGTGAGCCTCGTGCTGAGCAAGGACGATGGCATGGTGACAGTCCGTGGTTAATTCATTTCCTAGGGTCTCCAAAGAAAAGGGCTCATTGTGCTACCTAGCAGCCTTCTCCCCTCATTCTCCAGAGGTGCAGAATTTGCCAAGACAAGGGTATAAAATTAGTGATTTGGTCTAAGTAAGAGCTATTATTCTTCTGTACTTTTGGAAGAGAGATTTCTTTTTAAAACAAAAAAACACTCCCACTGAAAGTCATTTGCTTCTTTTTTCTTGGCAGAGCTGAAACAGAAAGAGGGTTGTCAAGAAAACATATTATTGAAGGTGGGTACTGTTGCTTCCATTATATTTTCATTCGTGGGTTGCTGATTCAAGAAAAGTATGAACCAAATAGATTTAAAGCATATTGGAAGGGGAAGAAAAATCCTATATAACAGTTATCACAGTCAGCCAAGTTTTTTCCTGGGGTTGAATGTGGGGAAGGAGTAGTAGAGATGTAGAGGGGAGATGAAAATTCAAAAGAAAAAGGCCAAATGTCCTAGAGCTCTTCTCATTTACATCTTCTACCAATATTAATAAAGCTTTACCGTAAGACTTTGTTAAAGAACTTTTTTGAGATGTAAGTTACATATTATAAAAGCTCACCCATTTAGTATACAATCCTTTGGCTGAATATATCTACAGAGTTGTGCAACCCTCACCATAATCTAACTTTAAAAGAGTTTTATCACCCCAAAAGAAAAGCTTTTTCATTGTTCTTAATAGTGCAACAGCTAGGCCTTGTTCTATGGCCAAGATCATTTCTACCAAGTGAGTGACACTTTGAGGTTGCCACAATAAATGATCACATTGTAGCACCAGAAAAAGTTCACAAACTCCTTACCCAAACAGAATCTCATCTCAGGCCTTAGTGTTCAATTGGACATACAAAGCTAAACCTAACCTGCCTTCCAAAATTGTTACCGTTTCTGGACTGAGTGTTCCTTCTGTAACTTGTGTCATATAACCACTGAATTCATCAATGAGGAATCAATCACCCAAGTCTGCCTGCACTATCAAGTGAAAGCACAGGACAGCAGTGTGCTGCCTCACAAGTTTTTTCTTTTCTCTTGTCTCTTTTTTAAAATCTAAATGATTAGAAGAGAGAGAGATTCAGAAAAGGTTCCTATTTGCAATCACCAATGAAATTGAAAAGAAAAAGAATGGAGATCTGTTTCTCTTCACGAATTGCATTATTTTGATATTTACCACAGCGTGTGCATAATTTCAGAATTTTCTTTCTCCTTTTTGAATCAATTTTCTTCAGGTGTCATACGTGTTAATAAAAATATCTTAAATGCCTTCTCCCTTTAAATCAAGCAGGAATTCTCTTAGAAACTAATCTCTCAAAATGGATAACCCAGTTCAGCTGAAATTCAAGCTGACCCAGATTTGAACTAAACATAAAAGTTCAAACTTTGGAGATTGAAGACTTGAGATAATGTGTTATGTTGTTGTTCTTGTTATTATTATCACTATTATTATTATTATTTTGCAATCCATAATTTAAGCCAAAGACAGGAGCTCAGGATCACAAGGTGGTCAGCCATAAGGACATTTCTAGGCAGGCTGAAATTAGGGAATAATGAAAATTTTACAGAAAAGCAAGAACATTTCTAGGCCCAAAATAAAGTTTGAAGAGATTTACAAATCAGTGCCCTCAGATTTCATGGAATTTGTTCCGAGATGTTATCTAACATCAGAGATTCATATGCATGTTAAATTTGAGACGAACTGTTAGAAAGTAAGACAGAAGTCCAATTCATGTAGAGTTCAGGGCACTTGTGAGCTTCCTGCCTTTGGCCACCTGAGTTAGTTTACAGAGTATAAAATGAGCTTGGATTGTGCATAATATATATATATATATTTTAATTCATATGAAAGGCCTTTTCAATTAACCTAATGCCCTTGGTTTAGATCCAGTTAGATACAACGTTCCTAGATTTACCAACTGGGGAAAGACATTTCACGAATAGATTGATTATTTCCATTTCGAATCCCAAGGTCCTGTCAAGCTCTAAAATTCTATTGATTCATTCAACCACTCCCTTTACTAAGCTCCATTTTATGCCACTGTTAGAATTTAGAAGATCCAATTCTTCAGAGCCTCATATAAAGGACTAGAAATATTTTGGCAAGTGAAATTGTAAGAATACGTAAAGAGTTTGTGTGCTTTTACAGTCAAAAGCTGTGTCTAAGTCTTTCTGCCTTTCAGGTAAACAACAGCTTTGTTATGTAATTGAAAACACAAACCCACTGTCATTGTTTTAGGGCAGGAGTAGCAAATAATCCAAAGAAGCTCTGCTTGAAACCTTTTAAGGAATGTTGAAGGTTAAGCCCTACTATGTGGTTTTAGTGGAAACTCTGATAGTGTAGAGTGCCTAAAGCACTTGACTGCTAACCAGAAGTCTGGCAGTTCAAACCCAACAGCCACTCCTCCGAAGGAAAGTTGGGCAATCTACTTCCATAGTGATACTGCCTCAGAAACCCAAGAGGGGTCGCTATGAGTCAGGTCTGACTCAATGGCACATAACAACAGCAACAACATCTGGATTTAAAATAAATAAAGAAAAAGAACTCATGATGTTTTAATTGAAGGATAATTTTTTTAAAAAAATATCTTAATCACAGGATTTCTTTCCGGAGTTCCATGTTCACCTACTGAGGATAACCATGTTTCATAAAAGGAGGTGCAGCCACGTATATTATTCTAAACAGTACAGGGTTTATAAAAAGAAGCTAATGTGTCTTAAACTATGACTGAGAAGTTCTGTTGAAAAAAACTGGAAAATTATATAGGAAAACAATGTACATTATTAAGGCAATTTTTTTTCAAGCTAGATATGAAAGGAAGTCTGTAATAGATGTGAAAGATGACAGCATAACATATTTGAATAGAAGCCTTGTAGAATCGCCAGACTACTGATGCCCTTGCTTCTACACAGTTGAACCAGCAACACTGAACACCTGATCCACCTCCAGCCACACCAATCAGCCATCATGTCTGAAAAGAACTTATTTCTTTAGTGTCCTAAAGTTGGATTAATATTTACTTTCTGAACACTATGGTTCCTGTTCAACTTCAGAACCTAAAAGAAAAATTAAATTAGATTTCATTTTACTATAGTCACCCAAAAGCTGTTTTCTTTAATAATATAATTTATTATCTTTTTGATAATACTAAAGAATTTCTAGTAAACTTCTAAAGGTTTCCTCAAGGGCATGGAGTTTCTCCTGCTCTCTTGAATTCATCTCTCACAGATGCTGGGTGAGTGCCAAGGGACTGACGGGCCAAGGTCAAGAGTGCCTTCAGCAAGTGCTGGCTGCTGTTCTGGAGCACTTAGCTCCTTAGGGTTTGATTAGCTGTCTGCCACTCCTCTTCAGCCAAGGTTAATGCGTTTTTGCATGTCTACTAATGCTTAAAACAATTCCTGGCCCCAAGCCAGTGTTCAAAAGGCATTTCCTAAATGGAGATAGAATGCAACTGTTTGTTGGAGATAAACCCTAAATGGATCTCAAATATTTGTTGCATGTGCCTTTATATTGCTGTGATTTAGCTATATCGATCTGATCCAAGAATCCAAAGAGGAAAACATACAACTATCTGATGTAGTTTGCAGTTGAATGAGGAATTAAAGCAGAAAGATCATCTAGCCCATTCCATCTTTGATAGATGAGGAAACTGAGGTCCAGAGAGGTTAAGCGACATTCCCTGGGTCATGCAGGCCAGCCCAAATTAGTGCCCTGTGTCCCAAAGTCTGTGCCTCACCTGCATATGGCCCTATCCTCTGAATCCCAGACTGGTCCATCTAGCTGCCCAGAAAGAAAGAGGTCCATGGAGCTGCCTGATGTGCTGCTCAAACTTATCACCATCAAAAGAGAACTTCCCACAGCCCTACTATTGCCACCATCACCATCAATCTGCTTTTCCCTTTCTTCCCCATTAAAGTAAGAGCCAACTCATTTCTCAGGCCAAAATCTAAGAGTCATCCTTTATTTCTGTCACCCAAACACCTTATGTCAAGTACACCAGCAATTCCTCTTATCTCTGCTTGCACAACTCTTCCCTAATATGACCACTTCTCACCAATTTAGTGCAAGCTTATTCTGCTACAATGGCAGTACTTACCATAGGTCAGTCTCCATAGAGCAGACTGATCAGTTCAAAATGGTCATCTAATACCATTCCCCTGCTGAACACCTCCCCCACTGTTTTTCCATCTTGTGTGTAATAAAATCCAAAATTACACCATGGATTATAATACTTTATATGATTGAGATTTTCAAAATGGCTAAGTGCCTCTTAAGGGCACAGTTCTCATTTACTCAACTTCAGAGTCAGAATAGAGACCAGATGGATCACTGGCCTCATGCAGCACCTCATGTCTTATATTCTCAGTTGAGTATACTTACATCTCTGAACATCAAGAAAGAATGCTCTCTAGAGAAAGAATTGAGAGGTGAAGACTGAGTACACAAGACTGGCCTTTATATCAGGTCCATGGCATTACATAAGGTTGGACAGGGTTACCTTGAACAGCGAATCTATGCCAATAGATGCTCTCAATATGCACTATTAGCTCCAGGGGGATGAAAATCATGTCTTTACATCTTTATATCCTCAGACCCCAGCACAGTGTCAGAATGAAATCATGACTAAATACATGCTTCTAGAATGTACAGGTAAATGACTTATGTCATGACTACTCTGTGAAATGCTTGATCATGCAGCAATACAGTAGGACCGAGTTAGCTGTAGCTGCTTCTCCTAGTTACTCTCAGCCCACACTGAGCTGTTTGATAGAAACATGGCAGGAGGGGAGCCATTGTTAGAAAGGAGAACACTTGTTTCCAGGGCCAGGTATGGACCAGTTGTTGTTAGTGGCTGTACAGCTGGCTCAGACTCATGTCAACCTTAACAGAATGAAACATTGCATAGTCCTATACCAATGAACCACAAGTGTCATTAAATGCCTCCCTCCAAAACCAGGGAGTTCCACCAAAATCTTTGGCATTCAGTCTTTGGCACCTCTCACTCTGAACCTTTCGAGATGTGAACACTACTGTTACAATTATCATAACATTTCTACAGGCTATTGTGCTTACAGAGTGCCTGACAACTGATTTTCTTTGCTCTCTGGAGCAGTGATTCTGAAGGTGGTATGCATCCTTATCCTCACCACAGATCAGAGAACTGAGTCATGCACACACACACACACACACACATACACAAAGGTCAAATAACTCAACTGGGGTCACACAGCACGCTAGGGTAGAGATTTCCACCTTTTAAACTTTGTGATACCCTACTATTTGTTTGCTTGGTGATCCTATTCTCTTTCCCCTAACTTCCTCCTTGCATGCAATTCCAAAAAATGGCTTATATCATAGTGCTTGTTAGGGTAAATTTAATTTCAAAGTGCCCCCTGAGATAGCTGGTGATTCTGCAGGCCTGAAAGTCACCACAGTTTTTTAAGAGCAGGCATTACTCCTCATAATACCTGTCTGTCCTAATCTCTTCATCCATGCTTCTTCTAACAAGCTACCACCAGAGACAATCCTTTCTCAATGAATGAAAAAGATTTCCGGAACGATATCCAAGCACTTCATTTTCCTGTCAGAAAAGTAATTGTGGCTGGCCTATAAACCAGTTTGAAAAATCAAATTTAAATGAGCCAAATTTAAATTTATAAGAGCCTCATTTAGCATGCAATTAACTTTATGCATATAATAAAAAAAGAAAAACCTCCAGTCTTCCTGAGGGATTAAACAGGCTGATAAGGAAATGCTGTGCCTCATAGAAATGAAATAAAATGATTCTTGAATACTGTCATCTTTGTGGTTGCATAATATTATGTACAATACAGTCTATTTCAGGGAAGTATTAATTTTAGTAAAATTAATGGTTTCTGATGATTCATGGGACTAGAACCAAATGGTGAGGGTTGAAACAGATTTTTGGTACTACATTTTCTCTAAGCCCTCACTCTGTCCTTGATTGTTGTTGTTGTTGTTGTCATGTGCCGCCGAGTCGGACTCAACTCACAGAGACCCCTTGTTTGGTTTCCGAGGCAATATCACTATGGAAGTAGATTGCCCAACCTTCCTTCTGAGGAGTGTCTGTTGAGTTTGAACCACCAGCTTTCTGGTTAGCAGGCAAGTGCCTTAGGCACTATGCTACCAGAGTTCCCTGTTAAGCATATGTTGTTGTTGTTGTTGTTGTTGTTGTTGTTGTCATGTGCCGCCGAGTTGGACCCGACTCAAAGTCAGTGACCCCTCCTTGGGTTTCCGAGGCAGTATCACTACAGAAGTAGATTGCCCAACCTTCCTTCTGAGGAGTGTCTGTTGAGTTTGAACCACCAGCTTTCTGGTTAGCAGGCAAGTGCCTTAGGCACTATGCTACCAGAGTTCCCTCGATACTACCTCTTAAGTCTCTCTGGCATTTAGTTTCTTTCCAAAAGAATGGAGAATAATAGAAATGGTAGACCTTAGCTATATTTTTGATTCTTTAAACTTTTTGCCAATTAGTAAAATGTTGAGTAAAGCCTTCATTTGCCAATTCTTTCCCATTACTTTTAAAACCCATGTGTACATTATAATGGAATTAAGGCAAGTGTTTAGTTCTGATATGTACCATTTTAATGGATTTGATGTGCAATAAATATATCTCCCTCCCACTATAAGCCATTAAAGAATTCAAAGCAAACATTAATTTGTATTTTTTTCAAGAGGAAAGAAAACTCTCAAAGAGAAGCTGCTTTTTATTCTAAACTCAGCTTCAGGATACTGCCACATGAGTCACTGTGAAGGTTCATTACTAAGTATGTATTTCTGGTATATATCACTGAAAAAACACTACAATTTTTCTTTGTTGGAGCAAAGTCAGCCTTTGACATATTTTTACAATGTACAAGGGGTTAATTAATATCATCGTATCCAATGGCTTTTTAAAACTAATCCAATGCTTTTTTAAAGGAAAAAATAATTTTTTTAAGGGATCCAAATGTCAACTCTTTCTAATTCTTCTCCTGTTTGAACTTCTTGGGTTTTTCCTGCAACTGTTCTCAGGATTGAAGGGCTCCCTCCAGAGGCTACAGCTTGAGTATGTGGATGTTGTCTTTGCAAATCGACCAGACAGTAACACACCCATGGAAGGTGAGTGAAGAAATTTAATAAAAAGACTACAGCTATTAATTCTAGCTAGAAGACTTATTTCCACTCATGGTAGGAAATAAAATATATTCAGACTGACCTGATTGAATATGATAAATAAAAACCTTTCTGCTCAACGTCTTTCGGGCTCAGTATTTACCCTCAATGCAAACACTCTGTTGCATCCTCAATCTTTATGTTTTTCAGCAGTTGAAGGAGTTGGGACTGTGGCACCTGCTGATATAGTGTTATTTTTTTCCTGCTTCATTTCACATTCGTAATTTCACCAACCGAAACAGTAAAATTAATTGAAGGCAGAGTTTATAACCCAACCATCATTATTCCTGGTTAAATCCTCTGAGGGTCTTTGTAGTTTATGATGACTCTGGGTCTGACTAGTTTTCAATCTGTATTAACAAGTGCTAAGTGACACCAAGAGCAGAGTTTTTACAGGAATGACTGCTTCAAAATGAGACTCCTTAGTGGCAATTTGATTTTTGGTTCTCAAGGCCCTGCAACATTTTGTCCCCTTTTACAACTGTTTGAAGTAGATAGTTTAAGCCTCACGTGGCAGCTTTCAAAATGTTTCCAAAACCAGCTTTTCTTCAATTTACATTTATTTACAGAGCCTGTCTAAACTGACTGAGAAATAAGATAGTTTGGGAGGATAAGGGAAAAAAAAATGTTTTAAGGTTCACAATCGTAGGGATTATTACTCGCCTGAAGTGACCAAGAAGGAAGATATGTGAGGGACAAAGGAAACAGAAATGTTCTGGTTAGTTGAGGTTTATAACATGAATAGATTACCAAATTTTACATAATTAAAATAGTGTGATCAACATAAAATTACACTGAAGATAATTTCACCCTTGATGGTTCAACAGGTAGTTCAAGATCATGTAATAAATCAGAGTCTATGAAGATTATTCTTACTATGGGTAGTTCATAGTTACAGAAGCTATAAATGAGGTAAAAATGGATGTTGCTGTACATTGCATTTCTGACAGAAATGTTATGGAAATTATATTCTATGACTTTTATCTTCTTAAACAGAGAAATGTTAAAAAAATATATATCCAATTTTCCACGTTGGCTTTTCTGCTTTCCTGATTCTGGGTAAATAGGAGTTTACTATAAAGTAGCATTGGCACTAGAGATGCATTATAAGTGATTATCCATGGAACTAACATAAAGATGCATTTTTTTTGTGAAAGGAAAGGTTATGTATTTGATACCATAAACCACAAACATTTCATTAGTATATAAAATATATGTCGCATGGATAATATGATGTCACACTATTCCCAATGACACATTGAAATAGAGCACTGAAGCTATTTAGCTAGTGAAAATATTAAATTAAGTGTGGGTTAGTAGGGACTATGAAAGGTTGGTATTGCTTTCCATTTTACATGTTTAGGGACTGCTTTTTTATTTGAAACAGCACCCTTTACATTTACACTTCAGTACAAGATAACAGAACGTCCGGGGGTCTTCAAGGGTCTTTTTGTATGTGCCCATTTGCCCTTCCCACCCCTCCTTTAATTTTTGGGGCATATGGTAGGATTCTCTGAAAATGAAATGTTACTGTTTGTGTTATAACAATGAAGGAAGAAAAATCTCAGGAGCCAAGCTATGTGATACTAACAAGAAAATGGTGTGTCTGGTATACGCTTTGATTATGTGTTTAAATTTATTAGAAAAGAACTTCAAGGTATTAAAAATATTTTGCCACTGATGAAAGTTGTAACTCAGCAACACCCAACCTCTATGGAACTGGAGAAAATTTACATATTCCTTGAGTTTCTTGTATAAAATTCTACAAAGTAGAATAGGAAGCAATTTTATCCTGAGTCATTGTCCAAGGTCAGAAACCTAATTAAGAGTGTTGAGCAATGTAGATTTGTTGATAAGATCAAGGAACATGGCATTTTGTGACTCAGTGTCAATCAACTACATTATGGTGTAATGTGGCATGCCCACCCCATCCCACACACAAGGGAAGGCTCTTCCATGGCATCACAGCTCCAAGTCTCTTTCCTCTTGGGAGGCTTGGCAGGGGAGTTCCATAGGCAATTCCTTAGGCTTGTTCCAGATTTAAATAGCTTCCCTCTGAGTGCTCCCTAGCTTTCAGAAAATGTGTATCCTCAAACTTAGTATACTCATTTATTCCATGGTGAGCCTAATAGAAAGGACAGACTTTGAAACTAGTCTTTAAAAACACATTTTCTACATTAAGTCTTTTCTACTTTACTATAACAGAGAAAATTACTAATGTGGGAGCCTCAGAGAGAAAAGATAAAGTAAATAAAGAGATGGGGATTGCCAGGTGCACTTGGGTACATTTGCTGCTCCTAAGGGGGAAAAATGATGTCTGTACTCTTTCTGGATTCAAGGTTGTCATTAAGTTTCATTTTTGCAATGATTTTGTAAATCATATGTGTGTATATATGAGCGAAAGCTATACATATACCATGGAGTCTACCTTAGGAGGGCTATTAGTATTTCTAAAAATAGTGCATAAGGTAAACATTGTATATAATCAAAATTACCCATAACAACCCCACAGTAATTCTTTATTAATCAGTAATCCTCTATAGCTTTGAATTAATGATTTGATTTCTTCTCCAAAGTAGTGACAAACCATCACTAGATATTGGCTCACTTATTTTGTATGTATTTGTGTCTGTGTTGGTAATGTCAGCAAAATCCTTAATACCATCCACATACTTCCCATGTTTTAACAGCTTACATTGATTATTTCAGTCTATTATTTCCATTTGGTATAAACGATGTGACCAAAACCACAAAATCAAACCCACTGATGTCGTCAATTATGACTCATAGCAACCCTATAGGACAGAGTATAACTGTCCCATGGAGTTTCCAAAGCTGTAAATCTTTTATGGAAGCAGACTGAGATCTTTTTCCATGGAACAGCTGGTGGGCTTGAACCACAGACCTGTTGGTTAGCAGTCAAGTGCTTTAACCACTGTGGTGACAGTGACTGTCAAACACATATTCTTGAATTTTCATACATTAAATCTGCATTTGTTGATAGTGCATTGTATGTGTGTGTCTGAGTATTTTGTAGTAGATAGATCATCTTTCTTTATCTCCATCATTCCTTATCAACCCCAGGGAGCCACAATATGTGCTTACTTATTGTCTTGGTTCTCTAGTGCTGCCATAACAGAAATACCACAAGTGGGTAGCTTTAATAAATGGGAATTTATTGTCTTACAGTTTTAGTAGGCTAGAAGTCCAAATTCAGAGCATCAGCTCTAGGGGCTGGATGAAAGCCCCTTGACCTTGGGCTTCAGCTCTGGCTCTGGTTCCAGGCCCTCTAGAGCTGGAAGGGTCTCCTAACTCAGGCAGCTGCTGGCTGCTGAGGCTGACAAACCCAAGGCTGACAGGTAAAACAGCACCATCCCAAGACCAGTAGGCAGCACAGCAGGCCATTGGTTCAAGTCCAGGAACTAGAGATGAAGACTCAGCCAAATGCAGGTTTCAGATGTGCCAAAAAGCTGGAGACCTTTCCCAAAGCTCTTCCACACACACTGCAAACAGGCCACAGCCCAAAGGCAATGACAAAGCTGCTCACAGCAGATTCCACCATAGAGACGATTACAATCTCATTGTGGAGAATAATAATATCCAGCTGCCCAGCCACTCAAAATTGCAGCCCAGCCCAGTTGACACACAACTTTAGCTATCACACTTATCATTTTGGTAAGGCACCTATTTCAAACCTGGGGAATCTAAACACTTTCCTAATAAGAGAGCCCAATCCCATTCAGCACTAGCTCTTCTCCATTGCTGATTACCAAGTAGAGAGAAATTCTAAAACTTGGGGGCATTGTAGAGTCTCTACACCCAACCCATGCAAACATAAAAAGTCATGGGTGTCCACAAAGACATTGTTCTACATCCAACTTTGGTGAGTAATGACTGGAGTCTTAAAGAGCTTGCAAGCAGCCATCTAAAGTACAGGTATCAGTCTCTTCTTGTCTCGAGCGAAGAACAGTAAAGAAAATAAAAGACACATGAAAACAATCAGGCCAAGGACCACATGAACCTCAGCCTGCGTGGCCCTGAGACCAGAACTAGATGGTGCCTGTCTACCATTGCCAGACACTCTGAAAAGAATTACATTAGGAGATCCTGAATAGAGTAGGGAAAAATGCAGAACAAAACTCAAAATCATAAAAAAGACCAGGCTTATTGGTCTTACAGAGACTGGTAGAACCCTTGAGGCTATGGCTCTTAGACACCCATGAAGCCTGGAGTTCACTTACTCCCAGTACTCAACTTTCAGCCAAACAACAGGCAGACCTATGGAGTAAACAATAACACCAAGGAGGGACATATTCTAATAAACCATAAGAGATCAAAAGAGCAGCATTTGCCCAGAGATAAACTCAGAAGGCAGGAATGGATGGGAAAGGACAAACAAACAAACAAAAAACTCACTGCCGTCAAGTTGGATCCCACTCATAGTGACCCCTCCTTGGGTCTCCAAAGCAGTATCACTACAATCCGAGGAGTGGCTGGTGGGTTTGAACCACCAGCCTTCGGGCTAGCAGTCAAATGCCTTAGGCACTGTGCTACCAGAGCTCCCAAGGAGGACAAAGGGAAGTGGTAACCATAGGGAGGAAGTGGTAGGAGTGCTGTTACATTATGTGAATTGTAGTCAATGTCACAAAACAAAATGTGTATGAATTGTTGAATGGAAAACCAATTTGCTCTGTAAACTTTCACCCAAATCACAATAAAAAGTTTAAAAAAAAAAAAAGAAAGAAAGGTCATGTGTGCCCATATTGGATATCACTGAGACACATTTTAAAGAACTTGATTTAAATGATATTAAAATGCAAATCTAATTCAATTGATTTGTACCATTAAAGAATGTTAATTGGGAGCATTTCTAAAATAAACCAAGATGAGTTTCATCCCATTTCTACATATCATATAGCAACCAACTGAGCCAGAAAAAGATTAGC